GTTCGATTTTAGATCTGCGTCAGTTAAGCCGTTCAGTCATGCGACTGAAGTTCAGGATGCTCACACTCAAACAAGTCGTGTCTCAGATCAGGTCCGAGGACTGGTTTGTCACGATCGATCTAAAAGACGCATACTTCCATGTCTCCATCCTTCCCATTCACAGGAAGTTCCTGAGGTTTGCTTTCGGGGGCGAAGCTTATCGATATCGGGTTCTTCCTTTCGGCCTTGCACTCTCACCCCTCACTTTCACGAAATGTGTGGATGCAGTTCTGGCTCACCTGCGACTCCAGGGCATCTGCATACTCAATTATATCGACGCATGAGACCCCCTACAGTGGTGGCTCAAGACCAAGGGGTTCTCCCCGAGGGGAAACCCGCTTCGCATGCTCAAGGTTCTTTCTGACTCATCCAGCTCCTCACGGACTAGACACTATGGTGCAGACTTGGCCGAGGCTTTTCCCACGATCGCTCTGCTCCTGGGAGTTCTGGAGAGAGTGCGCCGGGACGGGGCCCGTCTGTTGTTAGTAGCCCCATTCTGGCCGGGCCGAGTATGGTTCTCGGACCTAATTTCCCTTCTCGACAGCTCTCCATGGGAGATCCCTTTCAGGAGGGACCTCCTCTCACAGACGGAGGGCACGATTTTTCACCCCCGCCCGGAGCTGTGGAAGTTATGGGTGTGGCCCCTGAGGGGGCACAACTCGTTGCTTCTGGTCACTCAACTGAGGTTCTTGAGATCATCCTCCAATCCAGAGCTCCCTCAACTATATGCCTTGAAGTGGAAACTTTTCATTTCTTGGTGCGGAGACCGCCAGCTCGACCCAGCTAACTGCCCGGTTGGTACAGTTCTGGAGTTCCTGCAGGCCCGTTTTTCCGCAGGGTTGACCCACTCCACCCTAAAAGGCTACGTGGCGACCATTGCGGCCTACCACGCCCCTATTGGTGGACAGTCAGTGGGCAGACACCCCCTAGTTACACGTTTCCTCCGCAGTTTGCTGAGGCTGAGGCCCCCAGTACGATCTCGCATCCCCCTGTGGGACCTGGCTGTGGTGCTAGAAGCTATTTGTAAGCCTCCATTCGAGCCTATTGAAGAGATTTCTGATCGCTATCTCACTATAAAGACTACCTTCCTTCTGGCGATATCTTCTCTAAAGAGAGTTGGGGATCTGCAGGCCCTCTCAGAGGCCCCTTCTTATCTTGACTTTGCGCCCAACATGGCCAAAGTATTTCTTTACCCACGAGTGGGGTATGTACCTAAAGTTCCCTCTGTTACACCACAGCCTATCGTGCTATAGGCCTTTTGTCCTCCTCTCTTCAGGGAGCCCGACCAGCAGAAGCTTAACTGTATGTGTCCAGTGCGAGCACTGGACATGTACATCCACAGAGCTGCCCTGTGGAGAAGGGCGGACCAACTGTTTGTTTGCTATGGTCCCCCTAAGAGGGGTCTTCCTGCTACGAAGCAGACCCTCAGTCGGTGGATAGTTGATGCCATTACTATTGCCTACGAGTCCTCTGATCTCTCCTGTCTGGTGGCGTGGGCATACTTGTTCCCTTAGCGTTTTGATGCAGCTCGAGTTCCTGAAGGGGAACGTCTCCAGGTTACGCATGTAACCATGGTTCCCCGAAGGGAACGAGACACTGCGTCTCAGGTCATACTTCCGGCATCCCTGCAAGCGCTTGCTTCATTCCTAGAAGCTGATGCCGGTTCCACCGCATGTGCTTTTATAGCTTCCTGGTCATTACGTCAACCGCCCGTGACGTCTCGCCCATCTATTAGACTGATTACACATGTGATTCAGAGTGTGGTCACACTGAAGGCGTTCCCTTAGCGTTTCGACACAGTGTCTCATTCCCTTCGGGGAACCATGGTTACATGCGTAACCTGGAGACATTTTCATCATTATTTCATTAAAATGTAATAACTGTGCATAAATTTAATAGCTACATTTCCACTGATTTATCTGACAGCATCATTTGCTGAGGTGTCGACAGCATTTATCTGAAAATCATCAGGATTTTCATCATAGAAAATCATCCATATCTCCAATGTCATTGCCCACTGCATAATCAAAGTGTCATTTAGTTATGACACCACTGACATTTGGCATCACTGACACCTAAACTTGCACAACCTGTGTTATTTTTGAATTTGAATTATTCATTTACCTCTAACGGTTGTAGACAAGGTGGAGAGTGTTTTCTGCAAAGTAAACTAGTGATATATCCTCAGTTTAACTCTATTTTCTATAGTAAATGAATGTAACACCACCTTGTTTAGCTAATTATGTGTATTGCATGCAATCACATTAGTCATTTTAATTAAAGCTTGTGATTTTTAAAAACAATAAGCACCAGTAGGTGTGAATCGTGTCCCTTTATTCTCATTGTGGGCTTGTTAACATTCATCTGTTATGCAATGTGAGCAGTAAAACATGAGGTTTATATGTAGACGTAATAAACGTGGCTGTGGGAAGCTGTCTCTTATTTTATATGCTTAATTACTGCAGGATGGTCATTCATTGGTAATAAAATATCCAGCTATATTGTGGAAGACTTTCTTAGTCACAATGGTTTAGACTGCAAGTAAATGAACTCCAACCACAGCTCTATCATCTCTATGTTCTTGATCAATGACCAATTCCTACTATTACTCTTTGCTTTTTCTCTAGGTAAAAGACATCCAGCAAATCACAAGTGTTGGCACAATTCAGATCAATAGCATTGGCTTCAATTAGCAACGTGCGGTCTGGAATTTCAACGATGCAATAAAATGACAAGGGAGTATATTTATTTTGTAACTAAAGGCTACTGGAAATGATTGCACTGCTATAAAGACGATGGACCAGTCAGTGCAGTCATTGAAACATAAAATAACATGAAAGGTTTCTACTGTAACAGTGTTGCTCAGCCACAGGACCCCCATAAATATGTGATTCAAAGTCCAGACTATTTGAGTCTCAAATATTTTGTTGGAAAATATGTTTTGACAGTTGCTTGGTTTATATTTCTGCTGTTTTGCACTGAGTAGCACAGTCACGGTGAAATCTCATTGCTCCAAAATCCCACTTCACATGGCTGTATTTTACACATCATATCCATTCAGATTGATTCAATTGTGTGGCATCACACAGAATTTTGCTTCTATAGTGAGGACAAATAAATTACTGGAAATGTACTGCATCACGCCTATAAAGGATGCAGCATGCACTATAATTTAATAATTAATAGAGACTTGTTTGTGGGTGTTAGCAAATCGGTTGAAAACCACCAACTCAATATTTCAATGGTTTGTGTGATCAAACTGAGAATAATGTCCAGGTCTAAAGCTATAATAGATGCTTTACCTGCTCAACTTTGACATCATAATCTCCGTGGACCTTCTTCCCACGGAAAATCTTTGCCCTGAAAGACAAAAGAAAGACATTTTTTTAATTCATGAATCATTTCATGCATGCTTCTAGTGTTGTTCAATCAGTTTATGCAAAAACAATTGAACATCATTTACAACCCTGCTGTTATAATGACTGGAAAAACAATCAAATAAACAAACTGTGTAATTGCAGAGCTGGTGGCTGAGAAATGATAGCAATGCAAACAGCTGCTGTTTTGATGCAGCGTTCCAATCATTCGATTTTGCACTCCTTTTTGATAAGTGTGTACATTTCTGCATCTCGTTCATCTCTCTTTCACTCTCTCGAGCTTGTGTTTGGGTGTTATATGAGCAGTCACAGAGAAAGCAATTTGACAGCTCACTTTGAGCACACAACAGCGTAAAACAACCCTATAAAGATGAGAAGCAACTGCAAAACAGAGCAGAGAAAACAGATAAAAGAAGGAAAGATGGGTGATATGGAGGAATCCGTCTCTTTAAACCTCTTTATTACTGTGCTGAAAAAGCAATCCAGGGGCTCACCCTCAGCATGTCTTTCTGAACACTGTCTTTGTTTTTGCATAACTTTCAAGCACATAACGCAATATTGTCAGTTAATGTGAAGCAGTAACATGCTGACTCAATCTCAGTGTAAAATGTTCCCATGCTGCGGCTCAGAGGAGATGTTTGCACTGAAGCTGCGTCCATTGCATTGCTGGATGCAGAGCAGAAACAATGATTGATTATGCAATGCTGCCATCTAAAGGAAATAATTTGTGCATTGCGGATGCAAAGAAAGTAGTTCAGTGTCCAGTGCCAGTGAAGCCTGCTGATAGCACTATTCGATTAATTTTAATTTAGGTAGCACTGAAGGCAAACCCCTTCTCATCATGTCTCATCGAACAGAAGCTGTTTGGACCGGATTAGAAACAATCCCATAGTGCAAAACCATCAGTGATGAGATTTCCATAGTGTAATGACTGTGTAAATGACAGAGAAGCTGCATTATGCCCTGTGTTGATACCGTCTGGAAGACAAAAATAATGGTGAGTGATGCCAGTTTCTCTTTATGTCACACACAGTCCAGCATTGCTTAGTTTCCAAATCTATGAAAACGAGTGATCTTTGCTAAGGCATGTATCACTATTTCTATTGCTCTCGCCTGCTGGATGATTCACCCACCCAGAACCAGTGGATTATCGCAGACCCGCGGGGCGTTACGGAGCAATATTAGGAATATTTCCTGAGAAAGCCAACATACTGAAATGCTATTTAAACTACTTCTTCTGAGACTAAAATTTCTGACTGTATCTCCTCCTAGGGTTTTAATGCTGCAAGCCCCAAATTCGGCAGAGACCTGGGTGAATGTGTAGTTTTATGCTATATCTTTTCAGACTGATCAGACTTCTAGTTTTCGCATAATTAATAATCAAAAATCTAAAATTTCCCATAGACTTAACATTGTCTGAGCAAAAATGCCCCCAGAGGACAATTGCAGAGCCGCAGGATAAGAAATCTTTTAACTCCCCTCATTCACTTTCGTTTTCAGTTAAATTTACAATTAAATGCATACATTTCATTCATACTTACAAGCTAAACCAACATATCTGATCATTACCAGGTCAGGCCAGAACTCCTGAACAGCACTGTAGAAACTACACATAATGCACTAAAAACCATTCAGAGCACCTTAGCAACCATAAAGCGTACCCGGGCAACCAATCATAACAACCTAGTAACCAAATAGCAGAGCGAAGAACATAGCAACAGCCACCCACATCGCTCCATCATCATCGTGGACGTGAGTTCTGCGCACACAAGCAGCACTCAGGATTAGGCATGAGCTTTTTTGAATGTCAGCAAGTAAATAAATAAATAAGATAGCAGCTGTCTGTTATAGAACAGACCGACTGCAGGCAAACACTTTTCATGAAATGTTGTCATGAAATGCAAGAGAATTCCAAGACCTGCAAGGAAGAAAGGCGTAAGGCCACCTGCGTAATGAACAAGAGTGCTACACTACCAGAGAAAATGAACAAAATGAGCAACTATATGCTCTTGAAAATAAGCGTGTTTTCACAGCAGTGCCATAGAAGAACCATTCTGAGTGAACAGTAAACAAAATAAACTTTTTTTTTCTTAGTGTGAAGAACTAAAAATGGAAACGTTACATGGATATTAAAGGTTGTTCGTGGAGTGTTTTTGTGTACGCTGCTAAAGGACAATCTTACCATGTATGACCACTCTCATAGTGAGTGTAAAATCACGACACACACGCTGCAGTGCTGCACTAATCAATCAAAAGCAGCAAGCGGTTGCCATGATGCTGTTCAGGGCCAGTGAACCTTCACAGCCGCCGCTTCAGCGATCTCAGTCTTCAGAAACTACAGGGAGTCTGGCTACATTCACTACAGTGGTCAGTGATCCGTTAGCTTTAGACCGCTTTTAAGTGAACACACAAAAAGACACCAAACGCAAGTTTACTTGGAGCAACATGAGAATGAAAGGGCTTTAGGTTTCCTTTCTTATTGTCAGCTCACTGTGAAACTCACTACAACAACAACTGTACTTAACCCTGGTTCATTTGACCAGTTATTAATATTTAAGTTTTTTTTTTTTGTATAATGATTACCTTTGCTCAAGAACTCTAATTAAACTGGTGCATTTGTGCAACAGACCTGATTGATTCCTCAAATCATGTCTTGTTAAGGAAAGGTGTGCTGTTACTTTAAGTGATCAGTGTTATGATTTGCACCAGGCACACATTTTTTGGACTCTAATGACTTATAGTATGGACCAAAATACAAAAATACACAGTGTTGCATTAATTCATTAAGTATAATTAAATAACCTGAGACTTATTACATAAACCTAAAAATCAACAACTGAATATTTAAAGGTTTGTGTGATCAAAATGAGAATAACAACTATGTCTAAAGCTATAATAAATGCTTTGCCTGCTTTTATAATACTTTGGATTTTCAACTGGCACACAAAAAACACACAAATGCATCCTCATGAGTACACTTTGAGTCCATCTAAATCAACTATTAAAGCTTCTTCTTTGCAGAAAGTGTTCTTGTACTGTAGTATCACAAAATGAAGAGGAGCCAGTGAGCAGTAACGGTCTGGCAGCAGTTATTAATCATTGAGGTTAACCCTGCCATTGCTCCTGACGCGGTTGTTTGATGGTGCGCTCAAGGAGTCCTGCTGAACATTTGGCAATTAAGTCATTGTTTTTTTCTGCAGGCTGGCAGCCTTTTCAGGAAAACTGAAAGAAAAAATGGAAAGAAAAGGTTGTCGGTTTTTCTTTCTGGTCCATTGCCAGTTCAGCAGAAGCTGACAGCTCTTTGCTAAAACTGAAGATCTCATTTCATTGCCATACTGGAATATTCTGGATTATTCTTTCCAGAGAGCCAGTGATTAAAGAGCGCAGTCGAGCAGAACAAGCGTGCTATGAACACACGTGGATAATCTTTTACAGATTGACAGTAAGAGGAACTTGTAGGTCACCAGCTGAATAACTCTTCTGATTAGTGTTGTGAAGATTGAAGATGATGCAATCTGAGGTCAAGGCTCAGAAATTAATGGAAGCTGCTGAGAGTAAAATGGCTTGGAAAGTAAAAAATAAAAAAATAAAATACATAAATCTGAGAGTAAAAACTTTTTTTATTTTTTTTTTGAAGGAGAATTATTCAGGAGAATTGGTTTTAATGTATTTGATTTGATTGATACAAGGGTGACACATAAAGCCTCTATACACAGCTGGAACAATATATTGACCAAGCAACATTCAAGAGCAGAACTAACCGTTTTAAAACTACATTTGTGCACATGATAGCAAAAAATAGTAAAAAGGGATTTTACATTGAAACCCTGCATCAATAAAGACAGCATCAAGCTTGTTTCAAGCTGCAGGACATCCCTTAGCAAAAAGGGCACATTTCCCCACCCAGTTTTCACCCTCTGAAAAGAGAAAGTGGCTTGATGTCCTCCTCTGCGTCACTGCAGCTTACCAACAGCAGATAAAAGAGGGATACTAATAACCATCGACTCCTTTGATCCTGCCATTTGATAGAGTCAGCTGCCATAATTTCTGTGTGCGAATGAGAAGAGGAAGCATCCCAGTGAGCCAGTGAATCTCATCTGTGCTCTGGATGAAGCGGCAGTATTACTGATGCTCATGAGCCACATCGTTATGGCTATTAAACTATTCTGAGGAGTCAAAAACACACACACACACACACACACACACACCTCTCTCGCTCACTCACTCACACGCACACACACACACTCACACTCCCTCACTCACACACACACACACACACACACACACAGACACACACACACACACACTCACACACACTCACTCACTCACTCACACACACACACACACACACACACACACACTCTCACACACACACACACACACACACACTCTCTCTCACTCACACACACACACACACACACACACAAACAGTGAGCCTATAATAACATACATATTGCATCTGGTTGTCAGTTCACCTTTTAGTACGGAATCCTGTTCTGTACACACACAGATCAGTCATTTACAAGAGTGACATCCACGTTCTGTGAATTATATTTCTTCGTCTTCAATGATTAATTCTGTCATCATTTACTCACTCTCAAGAAGTTTCCAACATGTATGATTTCTGTCTTCTGTTGAACAAACAAAAAAGAAGATATTTTGAATAATGTAACTGTGACGAGTGGGGGCGGGGCCGAGAGCCATGGGAACGGAGCGAGGCCGGTGGAGTAATTGATAATGAGCGACACCTGCACCACTCACCGGTCTCGAGTCCCACGGAGGAGCTCCGGAAGGATAAAAGGAGTTACGACAGTGAAAGACGAGAGAGGACCAGGCCTGGACTTTATTTTGTGTTTTGGTTCTGTTTGTGCGCGACAGTCGGCCACAACGTCGCTCTATTTTGTGTTTATTTTATTATTAAAGTTTTGTTTAAATGTTCGGCGGTTGCCGCCTCCTTCCCGTGACTATGAACTGTGTTACATT